TGTGTGTGTGTTTGAGTGAGTGTCAAAGGTTGGCGATCAGTGAGTGGGAAGTGTCAGAAGGACTCTCCCCCCTCCTTAGCTTCAATCACTACGCAACGTGTCACAGTTCTGAGTCGTGTGCAGCCAGTGACGTGTGTGCTGGCGCAGTCAAAAAGGCAGTGCCACTGTCACTTAAAGGCCTAGCCAACTGTGTCACCCTGCCGCACTTTGAGCACACCGCAATACTGCACTTTCACTGTTGCCCCATGTTGACCCTGCTCAGCTTGCCCCTAGGACCGCCTTTGCGGCTGGACCTTTTGATCATTTCACCTCATTGCTACACTCGCAATTTCTAAAAATCTTGATACAAAATGTGCTTGCATTTGGCTAGTAACTTAAAAAGGCTTTTAAACTTAAACTTTAGGCACATGAAATAAGTAAATGATTCAATGAAGCAAATATGCTTTAAGTTTAAAACAGTTTTTGTTTTTTAATTTAAGTTTTTTCAAACGGTTTTTTAGTTTAAATATTTTTTTTAATTTTACATTTTTTATTTAAGTTTTTTGCCAGTTGATTTATAACTTTAAACAATCGTTTACATTAAGTTAAACTTGTGTACTTAGTTATAATTTTATTGGTGCAACTGTAAAAAGTAGGTGCAGCTGCCTACTCAAAAATTTAGTTTTTTATGATAACTGTTGATATTTGATGTACAATCAGCAACCGTTGTTAACGTTTTTAGGCGGAATTTTGCGTATAAAGCAAATACAACTTGTCGTTTTAAAAATAACAAATAGTATTTTGTATAAAAACATTTAGAATTTAAATTTTTTAATCATACATCATTTATTTTATTGCAAAATTGTATTTGCACCGTTTCATAAATATTGTTATTTTTTCTAACGCAATAAATAAATATGGGCCTATTTGACGTTTTTACTAAAGAACAAAATCATTCTTGGAGCGATGAAAATGTTATAAAATGGATAGAAACAGCCAAAAACATTTTGAAATCTTATTACCTGAGTTTTAAAGGAAGTCAGTTTGATGAATACACAAAAGATGATAATTTAAAGTTGTTAGCAAAAATTTGCTACGCAATGTTTGGTCCCCCAACAGTTGAACTATCAAATTCAAATGAACTTGTTGATGGTTACCAAGAAGAGCAAAAAAGTTTTGCTAAAAAAATATTAAACAAAATTTTAGAAGTAATGTTTTCATCTTTTCGCATATAAATCAACTTTTATTTTTTTACAGGCCCATTCTCGTGTTTTTTACAAAGATCTTTTAGTTGGAATCATTTTTGTTGTTTGTAAAGAAAATGAAAAAGAATATTCAGTACCAATTTTTTCCTTATTCGCCAATGGTAATCCAGAAATTGCAACCGCCGAGCGATGGTACATTGACACACAATGTCGCATTTACAAAAGCTGGTCTGATTGGGAAACAAACAATCTGATGCCAATGCTAAAATATGCCTACCCAAAAAATGGATTTTTTAGCTGTGCCGACTCATTAAGTTATGAATTTGATGAAACTAAAGAACCCGTAGTTAAATTTGGGTCATCTCCTCAGTGCAATAAGATGTCACGCATTTTTCGAGGAACTGATACTCTAAGTATGGTTACGGCATTAGGTAAATGTTGTTACATAAAAAGTAGCGCAAAACTACTAAAAATAGCTGTTAAAATACTTCAAAATTAAGGTTGCGGGGCAGTATCCATTGGTTCTTTCTTCACGCCAATCGGCCCTGCTGTCCTTTTTGGAAGCGCCCTCACCGGTGGCACATTTGGTGTTTACGGAGCAGGAAGGTAAACTTAGGTTTGAAAAACTGTTTGTTAACAGTTTTTGTATTTTTTGCATTAGAGCTGGTTACCGACTATATGATAAGGGGACTCATGGTGAAAAGGTGCTGAGAGATTTAGAGAGCGCAACTCTTTGGCTCAGCATAGCGGCCACTCCGCTACACTTTGGCACCACTTTCTTTAATTCACGTCTAGTCAACGGCGCTGTCGTCAATGGACGCATCTTTAGCGATGCTGAACGTATTTTAGTGACCACACTTAACTTTACCACTCTTGGCGCTGATTTCGCTCTTCTGAGCTTTGGTTTTGTCAATCTTTATGAGAAAGCAAACAACAAACAGCTGACAACGCTGGATGTGTTGCAATTTTCAATGAGTGTGTTCTTCTTTTCAAACACACTCATTAGACCTCAAACTGCGAGTGCAATTATTGAAAATGCTCAAAAGAATCACATTCAAAATTACGCTAGCTCAATTACTGATGCAGAAGCTAAAGCCACTTTTGACAAGTTTGTTGCAGAGAATAGTGGTGATGGTGGAATTAAACAGCGATCTAAAATTGTGCGCACTATTAATCGAATTGAAAACCCTGATGCATTGTTCAGTAATCTCAAAAACTCAGAATCAATTCTAATTGGAGGTCGAAAAGGACGTTCACTGTTAGTAAACGAAGGAACTTCTGTACAAAGGTAATGTAACGTTTTTCTACTAAACTAACTTTATATTAAATAATTGTGTATAAATTTAATCAATCATTTTCAAACTAGTTAAACTTATTTAAAAATATTTTTACAATTCTTATGACTAAACAAACAATTTAATATTATTTTTTAATAGAATTCCTGTAAAAACAACAGTAACATACACGGAAACTGATCAATTAAATCTCACCAAAAATTTTCAAAAAGTTTTAAATACAAAACTAAAAACAGATTTGAAAACTTTTGATATGAATGAACAAGAAATATCAATTGATGTAGAAGATTATAAAATAAACGGAGAATCAATTTTCAAAAACATATCACTTTCAATAAAAGCACGAATTTGTCAAGTGTTTGATAATGCTGATCCGGCAATTATAAAAGCAGCATTTGATTTAGTCATAAATTTCAAAGATATTGAAGTTAACTCAACAATTGAAAAAATTGTTAGTTTAATAGAAATCATTAAATCAGAGTTGTTAAAAAAAGGTTTTGTGCAAACTGGTATATAAAACAAAAAAATTAATTTATTTTATTTTTGCAATAGATTCCAACGCAAACTCTAAAGTAGATTTAAATGCTGCACTAAAAATTGTAAAATCTTCTGAATTTATAGCTGATATTAAAACAGACATAAAAACAGTTAAGCAAATAGCCAAAACAACAAACATTTGTTTTACTGATGCCCTAAAAGCAGTTTATCATTTTCGAAAACATGGTCATGAATTCATCAATAAAATACCGGGATCTTCCTCTAATCCAATTGTTGTTTACCTTAAAGATGCCCAAAATCACATTATTTCAAACAACAATTTAGCTGAAATTCAAACTTTAGAGGTAACTATAACAAATATTTTTTTCAAATTTTTTAAACAATTAAAAATATATTTCTAGTCTGGTGTTGAAAAATTGTTTTACGTAACGTCTAACGATGAGTTCGCTGTTACATTAAACAATAAGGGCCACGAAACAATATGCACAATGTTTTGCAAAAACGGCGTTTATCAAGATTATTTAAAAAAAAGATTGCAGGTTAAAGAAATGCCTGTTTCTCACACAGTTAATTTAGGCAACTCTAATTTTGCTCAAACAATTGATCAATTGCCGCAAATTGTAGCTGATATGACAGGAATAATTGGTATGCAAAACTTAAATATTTTTGTTCAAAATGTTGACGGTCAAAGATATCCATATTAAAAACCTATTAAAACAAACTTTTAAAAATTTTAGTTTTAAATGAAAGTTTTGTTATAAAAGGTTTTAATACCAACAATGTAACTGAAAATTATTTTAAATACATAAACATTAATCTAGAAACAGTTAATTTTTGTTGTCGTAAATAAATTATACATTAGTATTAAAACAAAATTAAAACAATTTTTACACACAATTTTAAAAATTTTTAAACAATATTTAATTTAGTATTTTGACAAATTACATTTTTTTTATAAAAATGTTGTTAACTGTCTGTAATTTTTTGTAACTTATTAAAATTAATGTTTTAAAACATATGTGTTTTAAAACAAAAATTAAAAACAGTCATTTTTTACAACTTGTTTTAAAATTAAACAGATGGAGTTAGTGTTTGCGTGTAAATTGCAAACAAAAAGTCTAAATACACTAGCTCACAACAGCGAGTTTATTTTCACTTAGAGGACACCAATTTAGCTAATTGTTGTTATTTTGATAATTGAGAAATTTAAAACATTCATTTGAATTCACTTTTCATCAGTTTAAGTTTTACTTTTGTGCTACTATTTGTAAATGAAAACAACAACAAAATGGGAATTTTTTCAAACATTGTAGATTCTGTTGGAGAATCACTTGAAAATTATCAATTTGAATGCAATTTTGGAAACAACATTACCAGTGAAGAAATTACTTACGATGACATTAACTATTGGAAGTATTCAATTTGTAAAAACTTGTTGAAAAAATATTATCAAAACTTTAATCCAAAAAAATTGGAGATGATTGTAATTGGCTCATCCGGAAAATGGAGAAACAATTGTGGCTTTAATAATGCTTTGGCAATGGTTCAAGAGGATGATGCTTTTGGAATGATACCTTTTACCGTACAAAATTTACTTGCAAATTTTAACTATGCATTTAAAAACTGTAACTCAAACTTGATTATCCCAAAAAACCAAAGTCAGCGTGCTCAACTAGAAAATTTTGATCTAAAATGTTTACAATTAATGAATAAGGTGTTGTTCATCAATGTCTGCCTTTCAAATGATAACTCAGATATACCAAATGCTTTGTGTAGCATTGAGTTTATTAATCAACTTTTGGTTGCTGAAAAAGAATTTGGCAATAAATTGGCTGTTTTAGATTTTCGTTTGACTAAACACACACATTTTAATAATGAAAACAATTTTGAAGACGATTCCTGGCTTTTATCATACAACCAAGTTGATCCAATGTTTAAAATTGTTCCAGCTAATTATCATCGTTATTACCGATTTTGCCATCCAGCTTACATTTTACCCAACAACAACAACGAGAGAGTTTCTGAAAAATTTGTTTCCATGTTTAGAAACATTGATATGAAAGGTTATCCTATCAAAAAAATGTACATGCCTTATGGTGAAACTTGGTGATTAATTGCAATTTTTTTCAAAATGTAAAACTTTTATATTTAAGTTGAAAAACAAATGTGTTTAATTTTTGTATTTTACAACAACTTTAGTTTTTTGTAACAATATTAAACGTTTTAATTTTTTGTTTTTTTTAAATAAAATTTTTTACTTAATAAAATAAAAAATTATCAATTGTTTTTTATGACAAAATGATTAAACAATTTCAAGCATAAAAAATTGTTTGACTCAGCTAATGTTAAAAAAAATTTACATGTTTAACTTTTTAGATTGACAAAAAGAGTGAAATGAAAAACAACAACACACTACTGCAAATAGTTTGACGTTCTACAAATCTTTGCAAATACCTAATTAATTAAATATGCAAAAAACACTTTTTTAACATTTTTGTATAGCAAACTTTTGGTTTAACTGGTTGACTCATTCAACTGGTTTTTTAAAATCGCCACTTTGCTACAATTCTCTTTTTATTTTACACCTGCAGTTCAATTAACTAATTTTGCAATGGTTCTCATTTCAAGCTTAATCAATTCCGTTGATTCACTTCAAAATGTAACTGTTAATTGCTATAATGGCATTGGTTGTTACAACAAGAACCTTACTCGCCATGCCATTGAAAGTTGGAAACATTCAATCAGTGAAAAACTTTTGAACCGTTACTACCATAATTTGAATCTAACGAAACTTAAAATGATTATCATTGGTTCATCTGGAGTACAAAGGCGTTTTTGCAAATTCAACGAAGCACTAGCTATGGTGAGAGAAGAAGGCTCATTTGGTTTTGTCCCTTCCTCTGTTCAAAATTTGATCACCAACTTGCACTACGCGTTCAATTCAAACGGCCAACTACTTGTTCCAAAATATCAGTTTAACACACATGGATTTGATTTACAATGTTTTCAACTTATAGATGAAGTTTTATTCATCAATGTTTGCTTGTCTAAGTACAACTCAAAAATGACTAAAGCAGTGTGCAGCGTCCGTTTCATCAATGAAATTTTAAAAGCAGCTAAAGTTCTTGGAAACAAAGTAGCTGTTTTGGATTTTCGCTTATCAATGCATTCTCATTTTTCAAATTCAAGCAGCTTTCGAGACAGTTCTTGGCAGTTTGCATACTTTCAGCATGATGTGAATTTTAAAATTGTCAATCCATCAAACTTTCACCATTATTACCGATTTTGTCATCCAGGTTACATTCAAGCTGTACATTGTGACAAATGAATCTCTGAAGCATATGTCTCAATGTTCAGAGACATCGACCGCAAAGGATATCCAATTAAACAGTGGTACAAACCAATTGATTGTTACTGGTTTATTAACTAGTAAAAACACATTTACTCCAAAACCAGTACTTAAAGTTTTTCATTTTTTGCTGTTTTTTATTTAAACTTGTTGGCAACTGCATCACTTTTTTACATTTACAGTTTATCAATTTGAAATTTTTTTAAGTTTTATTAATAGTAATGTTAAAAGTATACTTACATATTTGTTTAAAATAAATATATTTTTTATTTACAAATTAAAAAGTGCAACTTTTTTACACATTGCTTAAGACATATTTTTAAGTTTTGTTTGAGTTTGAATGTTAAAAACAACAATGCAATATCCAAAATACATACTTAAAATCTGAAAGTGACAATTTTAAAAGTAAAAAGGTTAAACTATATTATATTACCTCTAAAATTGCCTGATTAGTAACTTCTTTAAAAGGACCAATGCTTATAGCGTATTTTGGACCATTTCCAAGACGGTTAATTAAATCATCAGTTTTTAACTTGGCAAAAAAATTAGTGAGACAATACTGCAGAGCAATCAGCATTTTGCGAGGTTCATGCAATTGACTGCTACTTTTGGCAAGTGGGTACAAAGCAATGTAAAATGCTATGTATTGAAAAATAAATAAAAAAAGCATAATAATACGAATAAGCAGCTCTTCATTATTGAAAACAAATCCTTTAAATATATAAATATTTATAGGAATGTTTGTAAGTAAAAAAGCTAGCAAAATTTTTGAAAAAATTTCTTTGGTTCCTGTAACAATTATGTGGCAACACTGGTTGTGTCCAACAAAAAAGTTGGTAAAATTTTTTTCAGAAATTGGCATTTTGTAGCGAAGATACAATTGAATATTATCTTTCAAAGAAGCAGACATTTCATTCGAATGCCATGCATTAAGTCGAGTCAAAACACAAAGAGTGCAAAAAAAGAGAGCAACTCGAGCAAGACGTAAAAAGAAATGAAACAGAGCTGAAACTTCAATAAGAAACCAAATGGCACCAACCCAGGAAATGTCACTTAGAATTCTTTTTGAAAATGCAATTGATGATACTATTCCAGTAAAAACTGAAACCCAAAAAACAAAAATTTTGTGATTGTTTTGAAATATAGTGAAACGTATACTCACCGTAAAATAATTGAAAATATTTTCCAATCAAATCTGCCGTAATCATAATTTTAATGACTTTTAACTTATTTTTGTTTGAAAACCCTGGAAAAATTGGAAAACTATAATTGCAAAATTTTTTTTTATTTAAATGGTCTAAATTGTTAAAAATATACAGTTTTGCTTTAACTTTGCAACATAATTTTAATAAAAACTTTGGCCATAAAAACTTAGTTACTTTATATTTTGAAAGTTCTTTTTGAATTAACCATTCTTTTCTTTTTTGAGTAAGTAAAACAACCATTGGATCCAACATGCATTTGTAATAATGATTTTGATATTGAACAATCAAATCGTTCAGCCAACTAACGATTAATGTTTCACGGTTAATAAACATTAAAACTGTTTCACAAGCTAATTCAAAAATTGAAAAAATAACAACAAGGACAGGAAAAAAAGAATCAAATTGTGACGATAAATTCCAATAAAAACGGGCAATCGGATCATATTTTTGAAAATTATATACAGTGCTGAATTTCACACTCATAAGATATGCAATGAATAAAAAATGAATTGAAGATATAATTGAAACAACCCAATCAAAAAAGTAAAGCAGTTTTACCTGAAAACTACTTTCATAACTGAAATGATCTTTAGCAAACAAATAAATTGGCCGGCTAAACTTTGGAAATTTGTTTATTATATTTTCAACTAAATATGTGTGATTTTTAAACAAGTTTGACATTTTCATAAATGCCAATATTATTAGTTATTTTGTATAAAAAATAAAACAATTTTGTGCTAATGTTTATAAACTTTGCAAAGTTTTGTTTAAAAAAGTTTAAAATATTAATTAAAAGTTTTTAAATGCAAAATAAACAAATGTTATATTAATGATGGTAATAAATTTAACATTTTTGATTAATTGTTTTTTAAAAACTGTTTTGTTTTGCACTAAACATAAAATAAAGTTGAACTTGTTATTAATATAATTACAACAAAAATTTAAGTTTTTACAAACAAATGCATTTTTGTAGTTTTCTATTCATGTTGTTTATGAAAAACAGACAACATATGCCAATGACCTGTTGCAAAAAATTAATTAGAAACAAAGCAAAAATTGATTTTAAATGCATGATGAGTACGTGAAGTAATTTTTAGTTTGTTTTAGTACTTTTAATCGATTCAGTATACATGTTTTATTTATTTTGAAAAGTAAAACTTGTATATTTTAGTGTGAAAACAGAATAATAAAAAGTTTTAAAAATCAATACACTATTGCAAAATTTACTCCCACTAATTATTTGTTTTTAAAAAAGTAAAGTATAAAATTTTAAAAATTTTTAAAAATTTTGAATTTTTTAATAGAGATAGCGTAAATTAGCGAGCTACAAAATGTTGTTTAAATCATAAACAAAAAACTAATTGTCGAAACTAAAATGTCAAATAAAATTGTGTAACTGAAATGCAGTTTTAATGCTGCTCATTACAATGTTTGATACAACAAACTAATGATTTTAAAATTAAGCAAAAATATAAATGTGACAAACTGTTGCAAGTTTATTAGAGGCCAAACCATAAAACAACATCATTTACTAAAATATTATTAGTATTCGGCAATTAACGATCACGGTTTTGATTAATTTTGTCGTACTTGTTCTGAAATAAAACAAAAAGTCAATAAATTTACCAAAATTAAAAGCCAAATAAAAACAAATTAAAAAATACCTGAAGCTCTGCGTACTCTCCAGTCAGTCGGTCGTACTCCTTATTCGTTGCTTCAGCTTGCTTCTTCATAGCCTGTAGGCTTTTCTCCAGTTTTTCATTCTTTTCAACCAGTTCGGCCATTTTAACTTTCATGTCGAGAAGCAAACTCTCATTGCCAGAGTCTTTCTTTGAAGTTTTCGAGGAAGCAGCCGAGGCAGCTTCTGAGGTCAAGTTCTCGACGTGCTTAGAAATGTTCTCCGCCTGTCGTCGGCTCGCCTCAGCCTCAGCCTGGTACTGCGCCTGTTGGCTGATCAGCGTGGCCAGCCGTTTGATGATGAAGAGGCAGAAGAGCGAAAAGCCGCTGATGTAGAAGTTACGCTGGCCACGGAAGAGGCGCATCTGGTCCTCGTAGTGTGTTGCCAGCTGAGTGTTCTCATCTTTGCGAACTCTTCCTGAGTACTTGTGAAACTCACGAATTGAATCTGCAAAAAAATCGTTTTTAAACAGTGTTAGTTATTTTGCACTTGAGTGTCAATTTAATTTTTAAAGTAAAGTTACCAGCAAAAAAGAGAAAAAGGATACCAATCAGGGCAACTAGATACAGGTTCGACTGAGCGGCCAGTGCTTGAATGAATCGAGATTTGAAAAATGAGCGCCAGCTATACAATTAACAAACATTAGTTTTTATATCATAACAAACACAAAATATTAAAGTTATGTTGACGCAAGATAATTTGACAAACACGCAATTCAAGCAAAAAAACACGTGTGCATAGCGTTTCATGTAAAACATATCATTCTCAATTTGATGTCATTTGTAAAAAATGAATTAACAACTTACATTTTGGGCTTAATGATGGACAGAAGAAAGATAAAAATGATGGCGATCTCAACGTAGAGAAACGCTGCCACTAAAGTCCACTGAAGAGACATGATTTATTCTGACTTTAGGTTTGAGATTAGTTGTTTTTTGTTGTACTGAAAAAGAAAGAAAAACAGTTTAGATAGTTGACTTGAACTAATGAAAAAATGAGTGAGTGTCACTGGCGACTAGTGATGACACGACAGACAGTGGCACGACTTTGGTGTCACAAATGGACTTGATATTGAAGAAAAAGACTTGGCAGTAAGGCAAAGAAGTTGCCGGTCAAAATATATACAACAAATCACCGTCCACCTAACGGCGCACCTATCTGTCCCTTATCAAGACTCATCAGAAATTCTCAGTAACTTACGGCCAAAAAAAGAAACAGACTGCAGTGTGTGAAATGCAAATTGAACAGTGATAGAGAAAGTGAGCCAAAAAGCCAGAGAGCAAGGCAATGCTAGCGTAATGCTGACTTACCCGATTGATGGCACTGCCACTGATGACACTGTCGACTATCGCCAGACACTTCCACTGCCAATGACAAGCCTTCTAAATGTGTCTCAGAGAGGTAAGGAGAGAGGGCAACGACGACGACGACGACGACAACAAGGATGATGAAAACTGAGTACTACTGCCGATGCTGCTGTTGCTGCTGCAATGATCACCCACCAGTCTGCAAGCTCTGCTGTGTGTGTGCCGAGTGCACGATCAACAATACGACTGAGCCAGTGCTATGAGGTGCTCTGGGGTGCTCTGCCGCCCGGCAACAGTCCATTCACTACACTGGTGACACAGGCGCGTTGCAGTTCACATTGTTAGTGCGGTGATAGCAGCAGCAGCAGCACAAGAACACGTCTCCTCTCTGCACTTGGGTGACGCACTGCACTTGAACGGCGGTTGCGCCCAAACGATGCATCGATCTATCGGTGACGTCTTTTCCAGGACGATATTTTAAATAATTTATATACAAATGTCAGATATTGCCCGCTAGTAAATGAGATTGCGTTAAAAATAAATGCATGACGTAATGTATGGTCAAGCTTTTTAAAATGTGGTCTGATTTTTTTGAAATGTTTGCACGTAAAGTGAAATAAGCATCGGACTAGAAAAATTAAAATTTTGGACACTTGGCTGAACTTTTTTAAACTGAAAACAGTTTGTTTAAAAAAAAAGTTTATCAAATTGCCAAATATTTACCCTGTAAAAACGTCTTTTGCTAAATTTATCACAACTTCCCTTTAGTATTATTCACTGTATTTTGTTTTTGTCAGTCAAGTACGGCACAGATTTGGCAAGTAATTGATCATTGCTGATACACATTGATAATTTGACACACTTTGATGTTCGGCCACTAAAAAGTGCATGAGTAAACGGCAATGAATAACAATGCATTCAACTTTTTTTGCATCAATGGAGATGACGTGTCACTCACTGGTGATAATCGCAGTCACTAACAACAAAAAAGGGAAAAGGGAAAAATGATAGATACGGCAAATGACTGCTCCTGCTGCTGCTGTTTGTCACTTTCGAGTGCGCTTGCTACTGTACAGTAAATGTCGTTTTCAAGCAGTTTTCAAGTCTGCCATTTGAGTACATATGAGAGTATAGTTTTCCTGAAGTCTCTCTCACCATCGTTAAAAGCCGGTAGTGCAGTGAAAAGCAGACAGGCAAAGAAAGACAAACTACTGACCGGTTTACGTGAAAACAAACACATAGCCGCATTTCAAGCATTCACTCAAGCCGACACGAGAGATAGAGAAAACTTTTCCACAACACATAAGCACTGTTGTAAGCACCCAGAAACAGAAAATTGTGTTTCAATTGACAAGCATACATCGCTTTACTTACATCACCTAGTGTTTGAGCACTTTCAATCATGTCAGTATTGTGGACTTTAGTAGCGTGTTTTCTCTACTTGGAAATTGCAATCATCTTTCTCTTTTTGTTAACATTGAGAAAACCACAGTAGTAAGTACTAGTTATCACACTGTAAATTATAAACTAAACTTCAATATTATTTGCGGCATTTTAGCTGGCGAACATTTTTTGGATGGCGAATCACAAAGTTCCTCGGTGAACAGTCGACGCTTATTCTCTACGCCCTCATTGTCATTTTAGTTCTCTTTTTCGCTGAATCAATTCGAGAGTTTCACAAGTACGGCACTAAAATTCACACCAACACCAACAAGGGTTACTACGAAGACCAAATGCGACTTTTCCGAAGTCAAAGAAACTTTTATATTTCCGGGTTTTCACTTTTTTCACTTTTTATCATCAAGCGACTTGCTGGTTTGCTAGCACGTGATGTAACAACTCAAAGCCACCAGGACTAAGTTTATTGTCACGACTTGAGTTTTTGAGTTACATTTGTTTCTGATACCTTGTTTTCTTTTTTCCTGTTTTTATTGTCTAGTTGAGATAACATTAAACATAGAAATGACTTGTAGTGTAACTTTTAAAATTGGTTTATTTAATATATACATTTTATAAAAATTTTTGTTATCAGTGTCTTCTAGCAATTTCCCTGCTTTTGAGACTTCCTAAAAAGAACTCAATTTTTCCAAAAGAAGGTCGTTTTTCGGGCAACTCTTGCCAGCAAAGTTGCATCAGCTGGTATATCTCACTACTGCAATTAGGTTTTGGCCTATCAAGTCGATGACCTTCACGAATCCTTTCAACCACCTCAGAGTTGCTCATCTTTCCGTAAGGAAGTTTTCCACAAGTAAATATTTCTGTTAAAAGCAAAAACAAGCACGTTAAAAAATGTTAAAATATAAACAACAGTTGAACAGAGACTTACCCCACATAAGAATGCCATACGCCCAGACGTCTGACTTTGAGCTGAATCGAGTGTACCAGAGTACTTCCGGTGGCGCCCACCGAATGGGAAATTTGGTGCCCCCACTGGAGGTGTACTCGTCATCAATGACGTATCGTGTCAGACCTAGAGAGAAGGGTGCACCATTAATAAACAGTTTAAATCAAAAAGTGCAATTTTACCGAAATCCGCCACTTTGACGATGCCCGAATTGCCCACCAGACAGTTTCGAGCCGCGAGATCCCGGTGAATGTAATTGTGAGACTCGAGATAGGCCATTCCTGAGCACACTTGAATGCACATGTTCAGCAGAATGTAGGTGACTTTGGTGCTTTGTTCGCCCAGTTTAGCTTCGTTTTTGCGCAGAAACGATAGTAGAGAGCCTGTAATAGTGTAACAGCAGTAGTTAATAGGTCTGTTGTTGTGTTAACTATTTAGTTAGGTTTAAGCGTACCGTGCTTCATAAACTCCGCCACAATGCAGATGGGTCGGTGTTCAATGCAGAGTCCGTAAAGTTTGACGAGATTGTTGTGCTGCAACTTGGTCATCACTTTGGCCTCCTCAATAAAGTCATGCTCTGACATTGTGCCCTCCTTCATCAGTTTGACTGCCACATCAATTTTGCCCATCCACTTTCCGTGACGGACGACGCCAAACTGCCCGGAACCGAGTTCCTCCAGTAGTTGCAGCTCAGAAGCCTTAATTTCCCAGGATTTGTCTAATCAATCAAAAGTCAGCAAAAAAATTGAAAAAACATCACCACAAAACTGATAATCTACAAAAAAAGTAGCCCTGTTTTTTGCAATTACCTTTAGTAATAATGCCGCTGAGTGGCTTTGCCGGCTCACTGAACATCTGATCCAGTGTGTTCAGGCGAGAGGGCACCGTGGAGAGATTGGTTATTAGATGGCCACGATTTGAGCGGTAGTGCTTGATGAGCTTGTCAAGAGAGGGAAAACGTTCATTGGGACGCATGTAAAAGTATCCAGAGTTTGGGCACTGTTGAATGAGATAGTGCTTCACCTCGATGAACTTTTCACTGCAGGAAAAAAGGCAACCATTTTAAGTAATATTAATTAGTGAAATGGGCTAATCAGTAAGAAAAAAACTTCGAATTACCTTTTATAGAGTAGGCTTAGCGTGAAACACCGATTCTCTGTCGTCGAAGGCCGAATGAGAAAGCTGCCGTCCTGGTGCGAGGCTCGAAGCACCGCCTCGGCCGTCTCTCGATCAACATTTGGAAAGTACCAAGAGTGTTTCAGGGTGAAATTGGACGGCTCCAGCCAGAAACAGCCACTTCCGCCAGTGGCCGTCGAGAGGGAGGCGGCCAACGCCGGCGGAAGCGGAAGTATGCTTGAACCGGAAGTGACGACAGCTGCTGGCAGCGGCAATGGGCCCCGGTCATAGCTTTCCACTACCGGTGCCAGTCGGTCAATGTCGGTCAATCCTTTTGCTGCTCCGGGCACCGGACCCGTCTGCCGTATCTCCTCGACGTAGTTGAAGGGAATCAGGCCCAGGTCACCGTACCGGTTTCTCGCCATCCACCAGACGCCCGAGCAGTCGACTATTTCCACCTCTTCGCCCTTGCGCAGCGCCAGGTCGGTCTCCTCGTTGACCGGCGCAAAGTGGTGCCGTGCAATGACGCGCTTGATGGAGAGCGTCTTTATCAAACAAAAAAATGTAGTAAATTAAAAAAGTTTTTTTCTGTAGGGAATGCTGCCAATAAAATATTTGAAGTTTCAATTTTCAAAATCACCCTCTTTTCAAGTGCATTTGGGCGTGTTATCTTTTTGCATTTTTTGCTTATTGTGTCATTTTGTGACAGTCTATTTGTCAAGCAGCTTTGAACGCAAACTTTTGATTGATTTAAGTGTATCGACTAGAAGCGGATTACGCAAACTGTTTATTATTGTTTGTGTATTGGCTTTTTTGCTCTACATAAAGTTGGCGCTAACGTTTAGTTTCTACCTGTTGGCAAGTGTTTGGCACGCATAAACTGCAGTAGTTTTTTACAATTGCAAACTTATTTCTGTTTTTTACTGACACCTATTTACCTGTCGTTTGTTTTTTCTTGTTTAACAGTACTGATCAATAGCATTTTTGTGTCATTGTTGCAGTTGAGCTTTAGTACTAGTATTGTTGCCAAATAACAGTTTTTTTACTAGTTAATTACTAAATAGCATTGTATGAAAACAAATTAGCAAAAAAACAATCATACTTATCAATAAGCTACAAAACAATTGCTTTTAAAAAAATAATTGAAACTTTTGTTCTGGCAGTTACTTACAAACGTTTAAAAACTAAGTGTAAAACGTATAATTTTTGTAGAATTAAAACTAGTTTAATGACTTATTTGTGTCAAATTAAACACACCAAAAAAATGAAAATTGACATTTAAAAATACTTACGTCATGATTTATGATTTTTGAGTGAGCATGTTTTATGTTACTTGGTGGTGAGGTGTTTGATGAAGACGACGACGAAGAGCCGCCAGATATTTTGCGCAAACTTTTTAACATAGTTAAAAAATGAACTGTTTTTAATGTGCGTTCAAAAGTGTTTCAATTTTGTATCACAAAACGCACACATTAGTTTAGTAATATCACCGCAAATAAAATCACTTTTTTGCTGCTCAAACATTTTATTTATCACTTTAAAATAAAAATATTGACATTTTTTAAATTCTTAAAATTTGCATACGATGATTGCTGCATCCGTAGTAAAAGTTTTGATGGTTAACATGCCAATTGGCTATCACATTTTGGATAAGTTGAATTAATTGCTCAGTTTTTAAAAAAAATAAAAAAAGTAAATGAGAAGAGATGAGCATTTATGGCACTGAACTGACTCATCTGCTTCAAACTTAATTTTGCTGAACTGTGACTCGCTCATGTGAGCACTATGAGCACGGCGGCAGTGCACGTTGATCCGCTTTGAGGAGATGGTGGTGCTGAAGATGATGCTTCTTTTCACTGACTGCACGGCTGCTTCTCAGTCAGTATTGCTCTTCTGTTACGCATACTAAAGGTGCTCACCTTCCTAGAGGCCAGCAACATGCACACAAAGGTGGCAGGCAAAAAAAGCGAAAGTTAGAAAAAGGGGACAGTAATCGAATTACAGTGATGGTAAGGTGATTGAGCGAGCATATGAGCAAAAGCAAGTAATGAATGCGAATAAAAGATGCGGCACGAGCAGAAAAGTTGCGTTGGGGTTTGCAAGTCGCACGAGCAGAGCTGGTGGATGATGCAAAACACCAAACCGTCATTACCTTAAATGTCGTGAAATTTTCGCTAATAAAGCCCAAACTGAGCAGCTTTTTTGACAGATGTGTATGTGTGTTTTATTTTGTACACTGTTTATAGACGTAGGACGGTCAAAGGATGAGGGGAAGGGAAATAACATACTAACATAAACGCACATACGTACACTTTCAAACAAGTTCCAATGTTTGAGACATCAAAGTTGTTGCCGTACTAAACACTGACAATGAAAATGTGCCAATGACACAGAAAGGTGCTAAAATGAAGGTGGCACTTTTTTGTTTTTTGACAACTGGTAATTGAAAAGAAACTGAATAATGCTAAAACTTTAAATGGCTAAACTTGTTTGATGATTCACAAAGCAGTTTGGATATATAAATTAGTTTTGTTTTCACTTAACGACAAACAAATAACAATCCAAAAATTGTAAAAAATAAAAACTTACATTTTTACAATTTGAACAGCCATTCTGGCAGTCATCTGACAGGGTCAATGGTTAATTAAAGCAATAAAAAAAGTCAATGTTACATTGCCGATGTTTTTGCAAAAAAACAAATTCAAAGTAAACGTTTTCTAGTTTTTCAACATAAACATTTTAAAATTTATTTTAAAAACTGTGTTGCTTTATGTTAAAATTTTTTAAACACTTGTTTTCACAAGTCACGCATTTTGCCTGCAGGCAATAAATGAATTGTTAGAAAAAGTCAAACGAAAATGATGCAAAAAACTCGTTACTAAAATGTAAAAAGCTTAGAATGATTTTGGTTGATTTGACTAACCATTTATATAAAGATTTACATTTAGAAACAGTTTGCAGGTTTTCTTTCAGAGAAAGTAAGAAAAAATTGCTGCATTGCAGTTGGCCTCAAAGCTCATCGGTGATTTATTCACTAGTGAGATGATCTATTGATGGCACATGGCAGCTAAGCAATGAGTAATGTTTTCACAAACAAGCAAGTTTTTTTAAGTATGTTTATATACTTGTTAGCTATTCTTAATTGAAACAAACTGTTTTGCACTTAAAAATTTGTTTAATGCATTTGTTAATATGCACTACTATCAATAAATAAAAATATATATTTTGTGAATGACAAATTACAATTTTTGTTTGCATTGGCATTGCTGGCTAATTTTTAATTTGATGCACAATCAACCAGTTGACATTGACTAACAGTAACTAACAGTTTGTTTTGTTATTAAAAAGTAAATATCTGTTAATTTTAGTTTATGCTTTTAAAAATAAAAAACCAAAATTTTTTGCAACTTTAAAAGTTAAAAAAATTATTTACAAAAGTTATATTAAATGATTAACATAATTTTAGTTTACCGGTAAAATCTCGATAAATAAAATTGACTACAAATGTTGTTAAAATGTTTTTTACAAATTTAAAAACACATTGTTATGATAAATGGTGTCTAAAATAAACAAATATTACCAAAAATTTAATTTTTTAACTGATGTTTATCAACTGTCAAATACAAAATGTCACATAAAAACCGTTGAAATAAACAAAATTTGATTAATACACAAACACAAATTAAAAAAATTAATTGTTTGATGAGTTTAAAATTAGCAAACAGCATTAGTTACAATAGCATTATTGCAAAATTACTGCATTAGTGAAAGCACAAGAAAACAACAAAAAGACAGGTTATCCAAAAAACGATTGAAAAAAATGCTGCAACTGTCGATGTTGAGTGAAAATTAATATTCGCCGACAAACCGTCTGCAGCACTAAAGTATTTGGAAAAGAGAGTAAAAGAGAAAACGCGAAAGAGGAAGAGAAAAAAGAGAGAAAATCTACAGGTTGCAAAAGTGGCATTGTGCCGTGACCACAAGGCATCTTGCACACATTCACTCACTTTCAAGCACTGAGTATCACTTTCTAATGGTCAAAACTAATTTTTGCATACTTTCATAATGGCATTATTGCTAAAAGTAATCGTGCAAAAAAGTAATATATTGAAAAAAACAAAATTACTTTTATAAATTGCAAGCATTACGTGCTCCTGTATTCACTTTTTAAATCTTAAAATGCTATTTTAATTTTTTCTTAAAAAACTTTTGTTTTATTTGTTTAAATCTTGTATAATTACCAAATCAAAAACAATTAATAACTCATGACTGATACACAACAAAAATTTTCCTTTTTAAAATTTAAAAACTTACATTTTAAAGTCAAAATGCTTCATTGTGCAAAACCATATCATTTTTTCAGTTTGGGCAAAATTGTTTTGTGACAGCTGTTGAATGCACGACACTTAAAATTAGGCCCAATTTTTGTGCATTACAGCAGACAACAGCTGCATCAACAAGCGACACAAAACCAAGCGACAGCCAAAGGTAAAGAGTAAACAAAACAGTAGTGATGCTGGTGGTGGTGCTCTCAGATGTGTTGGTCTTTTCAGTGCAAACTGTGCCTGACAGTCTGATTTGTGTCTGTCTTCAAACCTGACAATGACGCCGGGGTTAAAGTAGACAAACTGACTGCAAACTGGGCAAAGGAAGGCAGACGAAAGGAGTAGCACAGACGACGGTTTTAACAATTCAAATGGACTAGTGAATCGGTAAGTGAAAAGAGGGAGAGAGAGAGAAGGCGAAAAGGACAATGGCAACAAGAAAAGTGCCTTTCTCAGTCGTTCCCTCTGCATCCCCTTTTCCTGCGCTTTTTACTGAAAGTTAAAAAAGCGGCCCACCGATTGACGCCGCCGAATGACTGGCAGTGTCCGATCTGACTGCGATTATCGCATGTCGCGACGCTCACTGCCGCACCGCTATTGTCTCTCACATTTACCGGGCGGGCGCACTGGAAATGAAGAGTTTGAAAAAAAACAGTTGAAAACAGAAAAATCAAAAGTGAAAAAACCGCGTTAATGAATGAAAAGAAAAGTGTTTTTTCAACAGACAGTAAGAAGTTCTGTTCAAATGTCATCTAGATCAGCGGCAATTGTGTAGTTGAATCCAGGCACAAACGATAACAAAGTCATTGGTTTAAGATAAGAAAGAACGCCGTTAAGATACTAGTAAATAAATCTTTTTATTTAGTACTTTAGATAAACAAGATAATGTCATTTAACTGTTTTTTGTCAGATAATGGTTAATAGAAAAGTTAAATTGAACAAAAACTAAAAAACTAGTTGAATTAGAACAGAAGAGTTTTAAAACTAATTTGATTTTTGATCACTATGTTAAAAGGAACAGGTTGCTGCTGGTAGTACTTGTTATTACAAAAAATATCTAAATTAATAGTATTTTTTAATTTTATTTGTTTTTAAATGTACCTTTATTATTGAATTATTTTTTGTTTGTTATCAATAAAACAAAAAATTGTAACGTTGTTTAAAAATAGTTAAAAATTTGTTAAAAACTTTTTGGGTGAACACCTGTCTAATATTTTCAACACGCCTACACTAAAACAAAAAAATCAATTAGTCAAACGTGGCAAACTTACTAAAATCATTTCTGCCTGCTGCTCATTTTAACTGATTTATTTTTCGCATTAAAATATATAAAACAAAAACATTACAAAATGCTGTTAAAGGTTTTTTAGGTAAAGCATTTAGGTTAATCACCAAAATTAAGTAAAAAATGTAACACATTATGGAAATATGCTAGCCATAATAAACTAAACTAACATTAAAAAGATTTTAATAAAATCAGTTACTAAGTGCAAAGTTGATCAATCATAGAAAAAATTTCCTGGCCCTCGTAAAAGCATCAGTCATTAGTAAATCAAACTGTTAAACAGTCAAGCAGACCAATACAAACTGTCAAAAGTCGGGAAATGGTGGCTCCGATAATCGTGCTGCCACTTTGCGCTCAATGCTAATGGTTGACTGATTGCCTTGAGCGCGTTAAGTGATAGATTAGTGAGCAATTTAATCGAATAGCAAAAGTAAAAAAGAGAAAAAAGCAAGTTATTGAAACGACTCTATTGAAGACTAATTGGCTGAGGAAAGCTCGTGATCTGATCAAATCAAAAGGAAACATTTACTTGTCACAACTGTTGAGTGAAACTCAGTGAAAGTAAAAACAAAACAAAATCTGTCAGTTTGTGTGTGACTGGCCTAGTGATTGTCATCGTGATTTTAAAAAGCTACACCATTTCAACAGGAACTGATTTTTAGTAGCACTTTTGACAGAACTTTGTTG